TTATGGATTTTGTTATCGACTTTATAATCGATTTTGTTATCGACTTTGTTATCGATTTTGTAATCGATATTTTGATAGATTTTGTAATCGATTTTGTAATCAGTATTGTTATCGATTTTGCTATCGATTTTGCTTTCGATATTTTTTCGATTTTGATATCAATATTTTCATCGATTTCTTTATCGATGTTTTTATCGATTTTGCTACCGATATTATTATCGCTTTTGTTATCGATATTTTTTGCTTAGTGTGTGCTTTTGTTTTCTTACTTGGATATGCTCTTAACCATACCACGTATTCTACGTTTAAATTTAGCGGCTGTATCTCCGATACAGCCTGCAGACCAAGACGAAGGCGTTGGACTGTTCCTTTTTTACTAACTTTTGCCTTTGTTTACAATACTCTTCACTCGCTTGTACTGTATGTAGTCATTCACTTTCATTACCATTCCTCTTTTACAGACAAAGTGGCTATCAAAGTAGTTGACCGTGGAGGCTTGGATGCGAAAGCTCTGCGTATGCTGTCCAGTGAAATTGCAACACTCGAATGTGTGCATCATCCCAATATTTTAAGGTAAGGGCGAGCGAGTGAGTGAAATCAGCATACAAAGTGGCATACAGAGTGAAAAACTAGGTAAAATATTTGTATGCGAAATTATATACATACATATGTGGGCGTGTGCACATAAGGATGTATGTATACACATGCATACATACATGAGAGTAAAGTGAGAAATATATTTTTAAAAGCAAATAAAATTTGTAAAAATAATATTTACCAGGATTTGAAGGCCAATATCGACTGCAGCTGCGTTCTGGTAAAATAGCAGGCAATATACGGGAATTTTCCATCATACTTTAGTCTTAAAGAGTAATGAAATTTGCATAATAAAAGATAAGTTAATATTAAATAAGTTTGGATTTGGAAGTATACAGATGACATTCACAAATCGTAGTGAGAAATCATAAAATCAATAAGAATCTTGTACTTTGTATCACCCTGTATCCCATTAAAATGTATGCGCACATGGGCAAATCTCTAGAACCGGTACTCACTTTTAAATTTATTTTACTATCATTTAAATTTTATAAAAAAAAAAATTGTACGTCTTACTTTAGATATCTTTCGTACTTTTTATGACTTTAATTCCTTTAGCACAAAATGAAGATATTTAATATAAATGGCAAATAGTAATTCTAATATTGAAAAACGCCCTAGGCGTTGATAAAACTATCTATGTGCTCCTCCCTAATTATCAGCAAAGTAATATTTTAAATTTCTTTTTCCTTTTGCACTTTTAGCATTTATTTATGTAATTGTTCTAATTATTATATATGTATGTACGCATTACAGGTAAAGAAAATTTAAAAACTATTGTCTGGATACAACTTTGCGCGAATGCCTTCAAATTTCCCCGTTTTTATTGGCACAATGACAGACTAAAATTTAAAAAGCCGAAATCATACGAGATCGGTATATAAACTTCCTACTTAATAAAGTTATTTGTATCTAAAGAATTTCCATTTCTTTTGCGCAGTGCAGTTAAAGAATTTTAAAATATTTATTTATTCAAAACTAGCAAATACCAGGCGTGCTTCACTGCGCCTTAAAGTATTTTGCGCTTTTTAGTACCTGTATTGTAATACGAATTATTAATTTTTCGTAGCGCTTTTCAAAATTTAAAAAAATATAATAACAAACTTAGCTTTTAGGAAATAACACACTAAATTTATTTCAATGACTTAGTTTTCTTCATTACGAAAAATAAACTTGGATGGAGAGGTTTTTTGTTTGCTTCTTCATAGTTGCTCAATTTCAGGACGTGTTTCTCTAGTTTTGAGATGCCTGCTTTAGGTAAACCATAATTCGCCAATCGATTTCCGTAAATGCCCCGATAAATTTTTTTCAATCTTAGTTTTTTGTTGTTGATTTAATCTGATTTCCGATGAATTTTTGCTCTTTGTTGACATTTTTTAAACACACAAACTGTACACAGCTCAAAAATTCAAACTCTTACGACAAAAATAAATTCGGCGAATACCCGGAAACAAATAGAGTTCGGGCTTGTTTTTGTTGCCAAAAAAATGGTTGTTACATATAAGCTCAGAAAAAGTAAACCCAAAAGTTTAGAGCGGTACGTGAACACTGAGGTTCGCTTAACTTAGCCGAGCGATTAACTATTCCGTTAATTGATTTAATTCAAAGAGGTGGCAACCCTCCTCAAACATATTTCCGCCAGTAAACTTGCCTAAACCTGTTCAGTTTGATTCCCATATTGCAATATTTACTTTATCTTATCAAATTATTTTCAATTTTCAAACAGGTGGCAACTCTCTAATTGTTTTCATTTTCTTTGAAATTTTTTTTTATTTTTTTGTTAGACCTCTAGCAATACATTGGTGGAAACTGCTTTCAATTTCATGCATTAGTTTTCGCGTGATGCGCTTACAAACATACAGACAGGCAGACAAAAATTCTAAAAATTATTGATTGGGATTCTGTTACTTTAATAAAGACCCCCATACTAATTTTTCTTTAATATCTATAATGTACAGACATCAGCCTTTTACAATTTTATTATATGTACATATGTATAGATTTATACATACTTCTATAATCGACCTTAAGCAATCATAAAATTTTTTGAAATTGGCACCGCACCGCTCAAATTACGTGTATGTTGAAAACCATTTCACCAGTCAGTAAATTTTTTGAAGTCGGACAAAACTCACCTCCTCAAGAAATGTCTCTATCTTTGAGTCTTTGAAAATTATAATTTTTTACTAACTAACTCACTAACGTATAATAAATAACTTATGTATAATAAATAATTTATGCTTTTCTTAATGGATTTTAAGTAATACTTTATTTATATGCGATCGATTTAAAAATGTTCGCATTCATAGCGTTGGATCGCCTGGTATACCCACTTTCATATGTACATACATACATACTACTCGTGTACTTGTATTTTTTTAAAATTTCAAAGCCACACAGCATCACAAAAAAGATAAAATAAAAAAGATACCAAAGCAGCAGCAAAGTGGCAGCCAGCATGTATGTATGTATGTAGGCTCCACTACGACTCTGCCACTTTTCTGTTTCTTAATTTTTTTATTTTTTGCCACCATGGCCGTATCACTTTACTCTCGACCACAGCTTTTATTTTGTTGTTGTTCAATTTTCATTTTTATTTCTTTCACTTGTTTACCCCTTTTACGCGTTGGAGCAGACTCTTCGAAGTGGTGGAGACACTGGGACGTGTGTATCTGGTCACAGAGTGGATACGCGGAGGCGAACTCTACAATCACATCACCCAGGGTGGTCCGCTGCGGGAGATACACGCTGCGCCTTTGTACAAGCAGCTGTTGTTGGCCGTAAAACACATGGTAAGCAGTTGACAATTATACACTGCACTTTATGTGCGGGCAAGCAAGTAAGCAACTAGGCAACTAGGCAGCCAGTCAGACAGTCAGGCACAGCGCTTGTTGAGACCGAACAACAACCATCAAGCGACCAGCCGGCGGCGATGTACAGAAGGACAATCCGCATGCTTGGCAAAGTGTCAGTGTTGGCGACCAGTTGTCCATTAAATTGCCATTTGTGTATTCTGACACTGTACTTATTGGCTCGCTTGCTGCCGTTTTTATTCTTCGTACACTTTAACCATATATAAGTACATAAATAAATGCATGCATGTACCTACTAAATATCTATGTACATAACATAACTACTACATATATGCTTTTTTGTGCTCTCTCTCGCGTCTCTCCCCCTTGATGATAAATTATAGCATAGCTTGGGCTTTGTACATCGCGATATTAAGGCTGAAAATGTGCTACTGCTGTCAGAGGATCGCTTGAAGTTGGCCGATTTTGGCTTTAGCACACAACTTATCAATGGTGAGTTACAATGGTATGGCGGTAGGTTTGTGTGTATGCAAGTAAATGAATGTTTTATATAAAACATTATATAATGAAGGTTGCTCGGGCACAAATAAGAGGGCTGTTAAGGGTTGAGATTTCTAAAATATTTGAAAATTCTAAAAGAGCAGCAATTAAGCGAGTATTTTGTCTGGAATGCAGCAAGATTTATTAAAATTGTTAACAAAAGTATCAGCGGAGGATGAAGCATTTACTTTACACCGTGGATGGGAATTTCAGAGTTTTTTGATTAAAATCTACAACTAGAAAATTGTTTATTCTATTAGAAAATAAAGCAAAAATGCTTTATACTACATCTGTGCTTAATTTCTGCCCAGTGAGATTAAGAGCGTTTATGAAGTCATGGTCAGATCCGAAACTTTTTCAACACATTTTAACTTCATGTAAGGTAGAGGCATACATACACACTTATTATGCACAAGTAAGATTTCCTACTCAAAAATTTTTGTATAACATTTTAACCCAGTGGAAGGACTCGTTCTGGTGGGATACATTTGGTTAAACTGTTCCATCAAAAATTTGATTGCTTGTTTATAAGACAAGAATTATGCATGACCCGCGCAAAAAATTGTCAGATTTTCGTAATTGGATATTTCTAATTAAATTCTACTAACGTGACAGCTGCCAAATTTACTATAACCAAACGGGGGTTGTTTATTCTTAGATTATAAAAGGAGCCTACAATTAGGCCGATCCATGCATACATTCCTTAACATATGTACATATTGTGGATACATATCTACATATATTCTTAATATTAGAAACAATGACGTCTATCAGTTAAAAAGGAATAACTCGCTCCTGACCCACCCGCCAAGCAGATAAAAGTCTTTCAAATGTCGTGGGCATGTGAACGTACATATTTATATGCACACATACTTACATACACGTAAGTGTATGCCTATAAATACTCACTAATGGGGATACGGGCACAGAGAATCATTTCTATCCTTATATCACGCTCTAATTGTCACTTGTCATTCATCAAGTAGCAAAGTTTACTTTTGAATCCACATTGCAATTTTTAACACCGATTTAACAGATCTATTATGTACGTATGTATGTATGAGTACGTTTAGTTCTATAAATATCCTTTCCAAATGGACATACACATGCTGAAAATTTTAAATGCATACACATGAATTACTTACTATATGGTGACTGGCAACACTGTATGTATATCTTTCTGTAAATAGAACTTTAAAAGTAGGTATGTACGTTTATAGCTAATGAATGAGTAGATTAAAATAACTCATCATCATTTAGTGTAAGAAGTTCAAGATTCTTTTGATATTTTTTACACAGCTTTATGAATTACTGTAGCTGAGTTACGACCTAGTACTGGTAGTGGTTTAAAACAGAAACTTATAATGCATGTGGGAAGGATGCGCTGGAAGCAGCGGTCCGGTAATAGAACAGAATTTTTAAATTAATATTTTCACGAAACTAGGAGTCAAATATAGTAAAATTCCATTTTTAGTTTTTCTCTATGACGCACAGTGTTCCGACTATATGGAGGCAGGTGGAAATAATAGTAAACCTGGACCGATTTCACTGGAGCTTGACATATGTATGCTCTAGTTTTACTTAGAAATAGAGAATTATGAAATTTGGTAAAGATGGAATAATTGCCACGCCCTCTACTCTTGTGGGCGGAAACATTAAATTTCATCCGATTTCGATGAAATCGGATGAAATTTAGTTTGTAGTCTTTCTTTTATTAGAGAAACCTAATAATAATATCAAATATGGGAAAGATTGGATCACTATAACGTCCAAAACCCACAAAAAATGTGGGCCCAGCCATGAAATGTGATGGAATGTTTGTTTCCTGCTTTCCATTCTCAGGAAACAATTACTCGCTTTTTCCCAATATTTGGTGAGATTTTTTCATTGTTCAAAAAATTCTTTTCGCGAAATTGCACAAAAAGAAGCTGAAATCAAAAATTAAGAAAATTAAAAACTACATATATTTGCAAAGTCGCGCGAAAAGACCAATTATATATTCGAAAGCTTTATAGAATTGTGCAATTTGGTCTAATTTCTAGACCTGACGGACCGGTCACTTTTTTTTTACTAATAATCTTTAGCATCTACATTTCAAAGTAAATTTTTTGATAAGAAAATAGGAAAGTACCAAATAAATGATAAATACCTTCACCTGAATATTCCCCGACTTTTAAATAATTGATTACGATTGAAAAAGAAACACTTGCTTTAATGGGTTAATCGCCAAAGGTAGCTGAATTTGATAACTTTTTAAATAATAATTTCAATGTTTGATAATTACTTGAAATCGAATTTTATAATTACCATTCTTACCATCTTTTAGGTGCCAATCAGAAACTGGACACGTTCTGTGGCTCGCCGCCTTATGCAGCGCCGGAACTCTTTTCGGATGATCATTACATTGGTGCGCCAGTGGATATTTGGGCTCTCGGCATATTGCTCTACTTTATGGTTGTCGGTAATATGCCATTTCGAGCGCCTACAATACCTGGATTGAAAGCGGCTATATTGAAGGGTGACTACCTGCTGCCTGGACAATTAAGTCTGCCATGCATAAGACTTATACGTAAGTATATTCGATGAGTTGCCAATGGGTGGTATACATATTTTCTTGATTATGAGAGAATGCGTTGGTTTTGCTTACCTTTCTGAATAGCGACGAGTTTATTTCTTATTAAAAATGTTTAATTTGTTTAATATCCTACCCAAAAGTATTTGCTTTCTTTCTTTCATTATAGAACGCATTCTCATTCACATCCCTGCTCGTCGACCAACCATCGATGATATGCTCAACAGTCAATTTGTTTGCTATCCAAAACTCAGCGCCGAACTTATGCAATACGAGATAAACTTGCGTACGAAGCCCGTGAAGCGTTCCGGTTTCTGGGTGCGCTCGAAATCCAGACGCATGCGCAAATCGTATTCACTGCGCGAACGTTACATGGAGGTGACCAATAAGCCGCCCATCAACATGAATACCCGCAAGAACGACGGTGTATTCGTAGATAATTTCTTGCATCCGATAGAAATCAATCGGGATCTGCCAAACGAACTCAACAAGGAGCCATCGAAGCCAAACACACCAAAGCGTTCGTTCTTCTGCGGCACGCTAAAAAAGAAAGTCAGCCCCATGGAGATCGAAAAAGAAAGGCAGTTTGCCAATGGAAATGGCTGTGAGAATCGGCAATGGAATGTGGATGTGGCCATCGACTGTCCGCTTTTCAAGAATTACGATGTTGAGACCGGAGAGCTCATTATGCTGCCAACCGACACCGATGATTTGACATTGGTGAAGCCACTGGAGTATGAAGCGCGTCAGCTGCTGGACGAGCTGGGCATCAGCTCGGAAATGCTACGTGCGGCGTTACAAAATGGTCCACGCAGCGATATAATTGGGGCGTATCGCATTGTAGTGAATCGGCTGCAGAAGCAGTCGTGGCTGGCGCGGAAGCATGTCGAGCTGGCGCTGCAAGAAATGCCAAAGATTGAGAAAAAGATGGAACGCTCGTGTTGCATACTCTAAGGCGTGTAATATGGAAGCGTACCTGGCTGTTTTCTCACTTCCACTACCAAATACACACCATTCTTAATACTCCATTTACCCATACAACATTTCAACAACCAACTGTCTTTCTCTGTGTCTGTGTCTGAATTTCTGTCTCCACAACTCTTTAAAAACTACTCCAAACTTATGCATAAATATGTGTGACTCTGTCTATCTACGTAAATAAGTAGTTGTGTTTATTAATGGAAAGTGACTAAATTCATTGACAGATGTACTAAGTGAAGTTACAATACATTTACAAGTAGTTAGAGATGTGTAAGTGTAGTGGTTTTGATCTCTGATCTTGAAGAAGAAGACTACTCAAGAATTTTATTATGTCTGCATGAAATCGTTAGAAACGAAAATACTTATATGTATGTGTAATGCGTCGTTAGTCGAATTTTATAGTTGTAGTTGTAATGTAATTAATAATAGTGAAATGGTTAATTAACCGTTAGCTGAATATGTTCGCTCCACATAAACTTCAAGAAGCGGATATTCTATGTAATCAGTTATGTACCAAAAAAAAAAAAACAAAAACCAAAACCAGAACCAAAACCAAGGCAAAGACAAAGACAAAAACGAAAACGAAAAAAAAATACATACATATATGTATGTACATATGTTTATTATTATTAGACACACGCGAATGTGTTTACGTTTAATAAGTGTTATATTTTGTAATTTTATAATTTCGAAAATTGTAGTATTAAAAGACAAAGAACGCTGTATTTTAGTTCTGAACTGTGACAAATGTATCTAATTAAACTAGAAATAAAATAATTTTATCACATTGTCGGTCCATTTTAACTCACAAATTTGCGCCGAAGTGGAAAACAATAAAAAAAGCTGCGAAAAATAAACAAACAAAACAACAGCGAGGAAAGCAGCATGGACTTTGCACTCCCATGGAGTCATTTACATACATACATACATACATACATACATACATACATATAAACATAGACGCAAACATGAGATACATGGAAAATATCTTTATAGATATATATATTATTTTTTAATAAGTTTCGATTTGATTTAATGCGATGACGAATGTAATTGACTAAGTCAAATAAATAAATAAATAAATAATGAAAATTCGGATCAGTTTTTTATTTTTGTATAAAGCTTTACTTCCTATTAGGGGTGTGTATCGGGTAATTGGGGGACCCACACAACAGCTTTTGCAAGAAAGATATGCACTCGGCAGGTAGCCATAGTTTTTGGATGTTGATCAACCCTTAGCGACCAAGGACGTACTTATATAATTAACGATTCAACTATTTTGTTTAAAATTCATTAATCACCTGGCAAACCTGAGCCCGAGCCCCGCGGATAGAGAGCGACATTTGATGACTGAAAAATTGTAGGATATGCAGCTGACACGTGAAGGAATGCTGAGGAGTGGGTTATTTACAACAATGTGGAATGAAAACGGCTTTGGTTCCGACATGATAATTCGTCTCAAAAGCCGAGCACCCGAACAATCAATTCGGATGTATACTGTCGGCAATTGAACGTTTTGAATGAAACCATCACACAATTTTGGTTATACTCGCCTAAGCTTGCGTCAATCAGACTTCCATTTTTTCCACTCTTTTCATAATTCCTTGGCTGGAACACTGTTCCTTCTACTAACGAAAAATTATCAAACTCAACGAAAGTTGTGAAATGGTCATCAACTGGAGCGTTTTGTCGATGAATTTGCCGGAAAAAGCCGGCTTTAAGAGTTTTCGCATATGACTTGATATGATATTTATGGGTAATGAATGTAAATGTATATTATGAATTGCAACTAGAGTAAAGTGATGTAAAGCAGAAGATAACAGAATTTTGAAGTACCACCAACAAATACTTGAGTGTAAATAAGCTGAAGAAAGCTGAAGTGAAAAACGAAATAGATTTTCTCAAGCAAAATTTTCGCGGCAACCACGGAAATGCAGTTGCTAGTTGCCAGCTGAAATTCGGTTACCATCTGTAATCGACCGATGATATTAACAATTAAATTGATTTTATAAAATAAGTTAACATTTATAAAAAAAAAAATTTAAAACAAGCTGTCTTTTGTGGGGTTATTCCTTTTCATGTATGTGTATGTAGGTGTATATTATAAACATAAACTAAATCAGATTCTCGCCATATGTTGAACTATAAATGTGGGTTTTTGAAATATGTCGACTCCTTTCATATTGCATTGCCATCGGGTTCTGAGCTAAGTTTCAACTCCAAAGCTCATCGGGAAGCTGGTTAAAATTGATTTCATGAATTGAGCCAAACAAACATACATACATAGTAAATATAATAAAGGCTTGTAAAAAGTACACCCACTTTTCAATATTAAACTGGCTTTATATTTTTTTATTTATCCAGGATCCAGGAAGCGCAAAAACTCATCATTAAGTTAAAGAAAATATGCAATGATGAAGCGTTTACTGTAATTTTTTTGTGAAATTAAGTGCGCCCTTTATATGCTAAATACACACATATGGATATTCAGATCACATCAACTACATACATACATATGTACATCGAATAGGATTTCTTCCATAGAAATATGTATGTATGTGTGGTGGCAACAAAAATACATAGATAGCACTCCATCAAAAGGTAGTATGACAGCAGCACTTAAGAATACATACCTGTTTACACAAGTGAGGAGGACTCAAATCAGAGCTTACCTATACTTCTGCTCATACATATGTATGTCCACAGGATAGCTTTGCTAATGATAAGCCAAAAAGGGAGCAAGCAAGACAGGGCAAAGCAGTCGCATGCCTATAGCGCCGGAAGACGTGCGTTGAATGTGCAGCGTTTTGCTACCTCATGCTGCTATGCTGCAGGCAATGAAATCAAATCAAAATGACTACACGCTTAGGAGAATCTGCCAAACATCATTAATTTTGAATTTGACTTCCTGTGGCCTCAATGGCCTCGCTGTTCAATAGTCAGGTCGGTCAACTGTTCACCCGAGCAAATGGCAATGCTTAATAGGTTGGTATGTGTGATGGAATAAAATACAACATGGCACATAACCATTCAGGCTTGTTAATATGTATGTACATGTGTAAGCACTCATATGGATGGGCGAGCCTCTCCATTTTACGCTCTGTGAAATCGTAATTTCTGCTGGTACCAAGCAACATAAGTACTAACGTACGCAGAGAATAGCCAGAAGCAAATGCTGCTCACAAGGAAAGTGTGTGAGCAAACCGAGCAAAGGTATTTCGTCAGCTCGAATGCGTTGTATGTGGGTGTAGAAAAGACCTGTAGGAAAAAAACTGTATCCTTAACATCCTAGTAAGGCAAAGATTATATGTATGTATCAGAGCTGTAAAATGATTGAATCAGTAGGATCTGCATTCACTCGGC